CGACACTTTTTAACCAAACCAAGATCCAGATAGAAAGATGTTCAATTACTATACCGTGACAATATTTCTGTAAGCTGTTTGTTTTGTAGTCCTCTTTTAAAAATGCTATCGTCTGCTTAGTCTCAGCGACGGAACAGACGCCCACGTTGTTGTTGCTTCTGCTTTCTTCCTATGGGGGTTTATCATGTGCCTACTTCGAATAATTTTTATGTTACTAAGAAATAAATCACTTCTCGCAAAACTCACACACACATACACATATAAACATTTAATATTTAAACATTTATAAATTAATTTCAATATTTCTTTTAACTTATTTCTTAACCCACCCTTCTCGATACGATATACATTTTTCTTTCACTTTGTTTAAAATTTAACTTCCCCCATTTGTCGTCGTTGTCCTCGTAATCATCTCATTGAAATATAATTTCACATCATTTAGTTTTTTTTTTTTAATATTCTTTTATATAAACGCATTCGAATTGATGACTCAATATAATATTTATATTGCTAACTTATCAATCTAATAATAATAATAAACACAAACTATTCCAAGTGAGATATATATATATATATATATATATCACACGGTCAAGTGAGAAGTCGATAAATTCGAAAGATTCTCGAACGTTTCACACCGAAGTAGCAACCAATTAAGAAGTTTGCTTTTTCTCTTCGAAAATACAAAAAAAAAATATATATATATATACACACACATAGATATATCACTCTGCCACTCGAGGTGAGAAAAATTTGAAAGATATAATCGTACGAAATATTTCTAAACAAGATACAACCGTAAATGTATCATCTTGTAAAAAAAAACCAAGGAAAATGAAAGAAAAAGAAATTTATTTCAATGAAAAGGAAAAAAAGTAATAAAAAAATGATCGTTCATATTTTATAATTGTTATTTAATAATAATAAGGTAAAAAATGTGATATTAATTTTTCTTGTTTGTTAATTCTTTATAATAATAATTTTTAAACGTCCTACCGTTTGTTATCAAAAATTTCAACGAATTTGCAATAGAAGAGATTCATAATACAGCTAACCAAATCTAAACCACACCCTCATGATTAATCGGTTTGCTGACTGTTAAACCGATACGCGTTATCATACTTTATCGAATATTTGTCGATTCAGAGGTTACACTCACTTTCCTGCTACCGTGTCGATCAAATCAATCTATTCCATGTAAAAGTTGATTCTTCTTTGAAAACCCTTATATTATTATTTCTCGAAATCATTTAGACATTATTTTTTTCTTCTTTTTTTTTTCTTTTCATTAAATTGATATCATTGTTGGATCAATGTTCGATAAGAGTATAATAAATTCTCGCACGTTCTTTGTATCTTAAATTACGATTGATATAAATTGCAATACCGTTGGCTAGCAACAACGACAACTATGATCATGATGATGATGATGATGATGATGATGATGATTGAATTAACTGTAACCTAAATAATTATTTAAATAATAATATCGATAGTATATACAATAATAAACGATAAACACATAACAGGAAGTTCATTTGTTACCGAACACTATCTATCAATCGTGTTATCATAATCCTTACGATCATTTGAGCTACCAAATGAAATAAAAAAAAAGGAAAAAAAAAAAAGAAATCAAACCGTTCTGTCCTTCCGATATTTCCAATGTGAATGAACAACAGGATTAAATATGAATGAGAGATCTAAAAAATAAGACACGTGGTATGCATGCGCCGCGCGTATAAATACAAATTAATTGGGAAAACAATGAAATATTTGTTTTTCACAAAATTCATTTCGTTTATTCCATGCCAAACGGGAGAAAAATTTGTTCTTCGAACAATTAAAAATCTTTGACAACGAATTGTTATATGACATTGTTTTAAAAATACTATGAAAAAATATTGTAAAACAACATCCGTTGGAATATTAACGTTTCGAGTGCAGTTTAACATCATACATACATACACTTATATAAATAAATAAAAAAAGGAAAACAAACAAAGAGAATGAAAGGTATTGTAGCAAGAGATCGAATCGTAATAAAAGGATCGATCGATCATCGATCAAGCAAGATAGAAGGATATTATAATAATAAAAAGAACAATCTAAAAGAATGAAAAATCTATTAAAATAAAAATAGAAAACACAAACGGTACCGCGGTTATGGGAATAATAATATCCTCCGAGAGAGAAAGAGAAAGAGAGAGAGAGAGAGAGAGAGAGAGAGAGAAGGTATACACTAACAATAAGATCGCGAATGAAAAACGGCAGTATCGTATCGTAACCATATCGTAACCATATCGTAACCGTATCGTATCGTATCGTATCGAGTAAAAGTAAAATAAAAATCAAAATAAAAAGAAAAAGAAAAAGAAATAAAGAGAGGATAAATAGATCGGCTTTTTCCGTCGTCTGTTTCTCGATACGTTACGGGCGTGTTCTTGCATACATATATACAAACATACATATATACATACACGCACGTATGCACGCATGGGATGCATACAACTATGATTCGATAAGCACGAAACACGCATAATACATACACATAGGATAAATAGAGGCCACGAGCATGTACACCACACATATGAGAGATTTACTTACACGACTATATACTCGTACGACACCTTCGTCGGCACGTTTCACGATTTTATGCCAGTGACAGGGAGGTGGGTTGAATGGGTGGGGACGTGCTGAGGTACGCGAGGGACACATCAAAGGTGCCGCTATCGGCGCAAAGCCGCTTTAACGCTCGTACACCGTTTATGTGTACACACCCCCTCCCACCCTTCTCCGTATTCTCCTCATCTCCTCTTCCTCATCCTCATCGTCATCCTCATCCTCATCCTCATCCTCATCCTCGTCGCATAGTCGTGTGTCATATCCTCGACGTACGCCACACGACTACTATTACTACTACTACTACTATCTATGGCGAGAATTGTACTCACTCTCTCTCTCTCTCTCTTTCTTTCTATCTTTCTTTCTTTTCCTTTTTTTCTTTCCCTTTGAAAAAACCACCAAGCTTTCGTGATATATCGTCCCGCCGGATATTGGAGCGCATAAATATTCCTCTCCTGCGTGGGAGTTAGTTTTTTATTTTTTACCATGCATACCGACAAAGTACTATAAGTTCGAGGTTTGAAGAAATATATATATATATATATTATAAGTCAGAAAATTTTTTATTCTATATTATATACCATCATACTTGGTTTTTCTTTTTTCTTTTTTTCTGTCGAATTATAGAAAAATAATTCATCTATATTATAAATATTAGCGAGATAATTAACGAACAAAGTTATTGAGAAAATGATTATCGTCGATTAACGATAAAAAAAGATTATGGTGTTAGATGATATATATATATATATATATATATAAAAGTATACAAAGTTAATAATATATGTATAATACGTTGTTTGTAATGTAATAATATACTCGACTGTTTGATTATGTTTTTAATATGAGAAGTCAAAAGAAAAAATGGACGACGATCTGTCTGTCTGTTTGTCTGTCTGTCTATCTATCTGTATCTCGTCGTTCAACGAAGAGAGGAAACGTATTTTAAATATTTGCTTTTTATACTAACAAAGTAATATAAATGAATATTATTATTCGATGATGTGATTATAAATTCGATTAAAAAACTTTCTCTTCCTAGTCATATGTAATTTTTGTTCTTCTAATAAATAACTGTCCGATATATATATATATATATATATATATACGGATAAATGAATTATTTTATATAAAAGCTTACCTTACGTAAAAATCATCTTCCTATAACGGCACGCTTACGGTACAAGTTGTGTCCCTCAAAACTCCGTTTCTCTAAACTTTCAATGGTCGCACGCCAAGAACCTAATAATATAAAGCAAATAAAATTAAATAATATTGAAAACAAGAATTATATTGTTATAAAATGTTCTAACAATGATCCTTTATCACGAAAACAATTAAATTCTTTCTAACATATTCCTACAGGATTTCTATTTTCGATTTCTATTTCGATTCTTAGATTTTCGTAATTTTTCAAACATATAACATTGTCTGCCGGCAATAAACCGTGACAATGAAGCATGTTAACTCAGTAGTCAGCTAGAAATTCTATTGAGAGCATGAAAACGGTAGAAGAAAGAGTAAAAAAGATAGACAAATAAAAAAAAGAGGCCCCATAGAAGAAAAAAAAAAAAAAAGGAAGAAGAAGAAGAAAATAATAGAAGCCATTTACAAGCCAAGGGAAGAAACGGAATAAAAAAGAAAAAAGCCTGTATCAGAAGTCCTTCATTATGGAAGACCATAAAATTCTTACTTTGATGCACTAGAGTCGCGTGGCCCCAATGGTATACTGTTACATAATCTTTTTTCTCTTCTTTTTCTTCTGCTTTCTATTCTGTCTGCACTAAATTCATCAAAAATCAGAGTATTTCCACAACTCAGAAATTGCTTTCCTTTTTTTTTCTTTTTTACATTTCTATTATTTCGATTGGATTGCAATCTCACGTATTAACATCATGTTCTTACTCTCTCTCTCTCTCTCTCTTTCTCACAGTCAATGGTTTCTAAAATATTAGAAAATGTATTTCCTTGAGTTTTTTTATCGGTTCTTACCGTCTTTCCTTTCTTTCCCCTTTTCTTCCCTTTTTCCCCTTTTTCTTCCTTCTTCCTTCTTTTATCCTTTTATTCATTTTACGGCAGCATCACGTTTTTTCTTGTATAACCTTTTCTTTTTTTTTTTCCCCTTTTTATTCTTTTTTTTTTTTTTTTTTTGGAATGTCAGAGTGCACTTTTTTACACGGAACTAAATTTGTTACGCGTGTGTGTATTTTACATATTGTTCTCTTACGGTAGTTTCATCAT